ACTTCTAGGCCCTGTATCTCGGAAACTAAGCATTTCAGGACATACAACTTTTTTGCTTATATTTAACCGCAGAATACGCTGCCGAAGTTTCCGGAATACAGTTCGGACCACCCTGTATATCACATACTAACACACCATATTATCTCTTTTTTTAACTAAAAAGTTATAGAGGTGAGCCACATTTAAGAAACACCCGATATATTGGTTTTATGAAACGGTTTTTTAGTTCACTAAAGTAAAGGCATGTTTTTTATAATAACAAATCCTTCGTTTCCAGTAACCCATAGAAAAACGGGAATACACTTGTAAAAGAGATTTTTAAAGCGGTTTTTTATGGGAGCAAAAACCTTTCTTACAACATTAAATTGTACCTTGAGCTTAGCCCGGCAGCGATACAGATAATGCGCTTGATTTAACAGCGTAAAAGTTTGATGGATGAAGGAAACGTGTTTTAAGTGTGGGCGAGAACCGCTTTAGCGACTCTTATTATGGAATGAATGAGGTTTCTTTTCCCGAAAAGTTTTTTATTTACCTGTCTTTAGGGAAAATATCCTGTAAACTTTTACATCTGCCTTATAAAAATTATTTTATTTATTCAGCAACCAATATAAATACTGTAAAATATAAAGATAAAATAATTTTTTTGTTCAAAGTTTTTATTTTTGTTTCATAGTCTACACCACTTTCTGTAAATATATGTTATACAGGGTGTTTCAAAAAATATGTGCCATCTCTCATGGGGAGATTTCTCAAGTAAAAATAAGAGTTATTTTTCACATCAACATAGGTCCGATTTTGCTTTGTTTCGGAGCTTGTTTAAGTCTTAATAATTTTTCGATTTATTATAATTTTCTTCCAAGTACTTTTAGTAGAAAGTAAAGTAAAAATTTCAGTTAACGTCTCCTTTTTGCTGCCAGGGCTAATCTGGACGGGGCCTACTTTGTTTACGCGGAATCCGAACCGCTGTCCTCGGCCATATCATGGTCAATGGCCTACCGACTTGGCAAGTGTCTAAATCAACTCTTACTCACGAGATATCCGATCTCATCCAGCCTCGAACCGGCGTGAATGAGCAGTGTGTGTCAATAGATTTTACACTTTTGCCTTTTATTGGACAACAGCACGATACAGAGTTTCGAACCGGTCACCCGTCCATCCGCTAGTATCGCCTTACGCCGCTTAACTTCGGTGTTGTAATGGGAACCGGTGATTCGACGTAGCTGAGCCGTTGCCAAATGCTTTTAGTGATTTGAATGAAATTTTGAGTGTAAAAGTTTCTATAATTGCTACACATTTTAATGCTAACAAAGTGTCGATAAAGTCATAAAGGTAAGTGTCCATTTGAGAGTATTACTCGCGCGAGAAACTCTCGATAGTAGTTCTCGCATGTCGATACACGTCTGCGACTACCTATCGGAGAATATTCATTTTACTATCAATTGTTTACTCGCAACGATTTGCTCTCAAGTGTATGCATATTATTTTTAATAGCGGATAGTTACTTCTCAAATACGATTACGTTTCGTATTGTGATAGTTCTAGCAGGTTCAAGGATGAACTATTTAATGAATATATGGAGTAATACGGCCGAAAAGAATTTCAACGCATTGCAACGTCAACAAAATTAAATTTTAAAATTAATATATAAATTACACAAAAGAACACCAACACACATATTATTTGATACAGTGCAAGAACTAGATATAAAACAATTAATACTTTTTAATAGCTTGCTAAATATTAAATTAAGTACAAACAAGGAAGTTCACAATTACCAAACAAGGAGAAAGTCACATATTAGATGCCATAAAGTAAAAAATAAGACATTAACACAGAGATTAACAACAAAAACAATTCAAACATTCAATAGTTTAGCAGAGGAGGTAAAAAATGGAAATTTATACAATTCAAAAAGAGGATCAAATGGTTAATATTAAATAGAACCATACACTAAATCCAGAAATCGACGACAGAAATAATTAAGAAAAGAATGCCTTCGATACCATCTGGCCAGGATCTGGTACCAACAGGTCAATGATGCTGCGACAGATGAAGAAGGACGACACCCAGATCTTCTATGATATGTATATGCTGTACATTATTTATGTGTTGTATATATGTTTTATATGAGGGAATAACTAAATTGATTAAAAAATACACAAAACACGTTAATACACAAAGAAAGGCAGTTGATGAAAGAGAAATCTCAAATGGATACCCTCCTGACAGATATGTGTGAGAGTAAGCATTTGGAGAGTTTTTAGTTATCTAGCCGATAGCAAAAATTCTTAAAATCGCTCTCAAATGGATACTCTCTTTGGAGTGACTATCGAATTCACTCGCACGAATTTCTCTCAAATGGACACTTACCTTAAGGGACGTGCATATGGGTTATCACTGGAATATTTTTCAAAAAAAAACATGTGCGCCACTGACTTTTTCTCTTTTGATATCAAAATTGAGTAGGCCGTTTAATGCCAATTAAAAGTGATCTCTTGATATTTTGTCGAATTCGGCCTACTAGATAAGATAAACGCAATTTTATTAATCACAATTAATAAAATTAAAATAAAAATGAGATTAATAAATTATATATTTTACCTAATTTATTATTAAATCTTATACTATTAGTTATTATTACTATTAGTCCAACCTACAGCAATTTCAAATAAAAAAATTATGGTATTTAAGATAATTACAAAAAAACTAATTTTAAAAAGTAATCTGTAACTCTAAAACTATGCATTTCCATACCCATGTTTATAGGACAATTTTTTCATATCTTTTGATGAAGAATCAATCAGTACTTATTTAAAACTATCGCAAGTTAGTGATATTAATTTTTTTAAAGGTTGCTATTAGACTTGGATCAAGGCAAATTAAAAAAATTGCTTTTATCTCATCAAGGAGGCCGAAATCGACACAAACTGCTTACACTAATTCGCTTAAAAAAGAAAAATAAATCAGTGGCGTACCTGCTTTTTTTGAAAAAAACATTCCAGTTATAACCCATATGCACGTCCCTGGTGAATATGGCGACACTTTTTTAGCCTTAAAATATGTCGCATTTATAGTAACTTTTACCCTCAAAATTTCATGTGAAACGCTAAAAGTACCTACTTGGAAGAAAATTATAATAAATCGAAAAAATATTAAGACTTTAACACCCTGTAGCTAGGAAACAAAGCAGAACCAGACATATGTTGATATGAAAAATAAATCTTATTTTTACGTGAGGAATCTCCCCACGAGAGATGGCACATGTTTTTTGAAACGTCCTGTATAATGTTCTATAATATACAGGGTGTCCCAGAAATAAGTGCAAGTATTTTAAGGGGTGGTAGATCTGGTCAAAAGAAACATTTTTTCTCTTTACCGTTTTTCAAATAAGTCCAAAATAACCGACATTTTACTTTGAAAATTTCCAAAAAAAAAATGATTTTTTGCTAAAATTTTGAGAACCACTGGATCCTTTCTGGATTTTCTTTCATGTAAATTTAAGCTACTACCTATGTTGCCATATTATCAAGAAATCATGTTTTTTAACTTAAACTAAAAAAATTTCCAAAATTTTTTTCAAAAAATTCCAAATTTTTAATTTTTTTTTTCGCAAAAAATACGTCATAGGCATGTTTCTGAGGCCGAAATATACTACCAGTTAAAATACTTGCACTTATTTCTAGGACACCCTGTATATAAAGTAAATACAGGGTCGCTGTTATGTATGGAAATAAATACAAAAATTGTAGGGTTTTTAAATGTCTATTGGCGAGTAATAAATTCATGTATAAAGGGTCGGTCATAAAGTCGTGGCACATCAAAATTTCATTTTTTTAAATAGAACCCCCTGTATATTATTGCATATTTCAATACTTCCTTTAATCCTAAGCAAAAATCGAAATACACACTATGTACCTCAAACCAACCATTTCCGAGTTACTGGCTTTTGAACATATCACTTAAACAGTTTCATTTAATCAATTTTGATTATCTTCAGTTTCATTTAATGATGCCATTCCACCGAAACTGTGATACTGTTGTAATAGGTTTTTAAATGACTATTAGCTGCAGTGTGCATTCACCAATTATTAATAGAATACTTAAATGCTCCTGATTTTATGTTAAGGACAGTGTTTACAAAACTCGACAAACTATTGTCGACAACATGACAGAAATTATTGTTGCTGCTTTTCGAGATCGAACTCCACATATGCCTTTTAAAATAAAAAGATCCTTTTGAAAAGACAATCATTTTATGCAGTTAACAGAAAATGAAGCCTTTTGAGCATTTGATTTCATCTAGCTAATTTTTGTCACATAACTATAGGTTTATATCTTGTTTTAATTCTGTAATAATTAAAATATATTTTAAACGTGTATCTTTTTATTACCGTTGGGTATTTTACTCTACAATCTTTAATTTTTGTTAAATTAACAACAGGTATATCACACAGCCACGCTAGATTTTTTCAAATAATAAAGATCTACTGATGCAAAATCATAAAAATTAAAATATCTAGGAAGATACTGTCTGAGGAGTAGGCAACCTTAATAATAATTTGAAGATATATGAATTCCCCATTGAACACCGGAAAAATATATTGGGTAACTTGCTTTTAAATGTACTTGACTAATGTTCTATATTAATTTTGTCTCACCCAGCATAACTTTTCGGGTCAAATTTCAATTCGGTTTAACACACAATGGTTACTGTAATTAAACATCAAGCTATATAAGGTCAACTAAAATTTAGATAGCTGTTATGGAAATTTAAAATTTACTCTTCATTTTCACAAAATGTGAAATATGTCAACATCCACATTCCATATTCCATAGAAAAAACAACAACTTTGATGAGTAACTTTTTTGGGGAATACCCTGTATAATTCTATATATATTTATAAAATGCTTTTAGTTAATCTAGATATGCTGCCAAAATGTAATTTCGATTTTACTATAACATGTTTATTCTTTTTTCAAACTAGTATATTTTGTTTCAGCTCAGCGAAGAACTAGGCTACGTGCTCTATTCAGCACTGGGCTCATTCTACATTCCGTCGTGCATTATGGTCTTCGTCTATATCCGAATATACTTCGCTGCGAAAGCGAGGGCGCGGAGAGGGATAAGGAAACCGCCCCGAAGACCAGCGCTAGACGCACAAACTAGTTTTACGAATTCTCCAGTGGCCACGGCCACAAAAAATGGTGAGCATTTTTTTTCATAATTATAACTTGTTTGATTTATTACTAAAAGATTTTTTAAATAAGCAAATAATCACTGGACAACAAATTTTAGTTTATTGATGGTAGTACATTTACTAGCTAATTTTGGGGTGCTGAAGACGAAAATAACAATGAATTTAAAAACATAGTTGTAGTTTTCAAGAGCAACTTTTTTAACAAGAACAAAGCTTTTATTTAACTTGCTTTGTATGTAACTATGTATCGTTCGGGGCAAATCTTGTAAGCTAAATTAGAACAACTTCCTTTCATTGTAGGAAATTGAAATTTGGCATGTAGGTCCAGTCCAAAGAATATACCTAGCTAGAAAAAGAATGGACTCTGCCATACTGAAAAATGGTCCTACAGAAGTGGCGCCATCTATTGAGTAGGGCTTGTTTTAAATAGATCGAAGCACGGGCTTTTTAAATGAGCGTATTTACTGAATAATTTTACTCTAAAATAATTAAATTTGATTATTAAATATTATTTTTTACGCAAATTCACAATACTAATAACAAATTATCGTTTGTGATGTGTAAAAAATAAGATTTAACAGTATAATATATACAATTATTAAATAAAATTAAAGCCAAACATGTGAAATATTATTTATTATTTAAAGTTCTTATTTATAAGTCAAATATTTAAACATCGTTTATTATAATAAAACAAGACCGATGTAATACGCCCAAAGTTTTGTAAATGGAGTAAATATAAATAGGTACTTAAATGATGGCAAAAATAAAAGACTTACATTATATTTTTAGAGCCAGAAACAAAAGGTCTAATTAAAACACATATAACAAATTATAGTTTGAAAAACATTTTGATAATCATTTATTTGATAATATTATGATTGGCGCTATGACAACGACAATATTTTTTGAGAATTTGACAATAATATGACGATGGCCGTTGGAAACTATGGAAACTACAAAAAAATTCTGATTTACCGCCATCTGGCAATAACTAGTAGCAACTTCTGAACCTAAAAATTAATTGCACTACCACCTAGTGGCTAGGGCTGGAACTATTTTATTTGAGATTTCCGTGGAAACGGTGGAACCGCTTTTGCTATTTCACTTTCCCGCTCCTGGTTCAGTCCCGATGACAATACATTTTTTTGCAAAGCGTGACCCGAATTTCTGACAGCCGTCAAAATGGCGGCATTTTTGAGGTTTTTGATTTTTTTAAATTCTATTTATGAATGGATCGGGCTGAAATTATATATATATAGGTATGTTGTGGGGGTATATACATATAAAGAAAAATATATGGGCGGCCATCTTGAAAAAATGAGTGTTTAATGACATGGCAAAATTTCAAAGTCAACCGGTTTTGATAAAAATCGATATATAGAATGGCCATGGGCTAAAATGAAAGAAAAGAAAATTGAGCTGTCAAAAAAATTTCAAAGTTGTCCGATTTTGATAAAATAACAATATGTTGGATGCCATCTACCCCATAGTCGGTTTTCATTTTATTTGTCTCATATTTGAACTGTCAAATTTGACAGCTGTCGTTTTTTTTAAGTTCTCTTTTTTTAATGAAAATCGATATACATATATATTGTTAGGATGCCCATAGGAAGTTATTTAAGAAAAAAAAATGAGTTTAAGTGTGTGGCACTGAGAGATCAGCATAAAAAGTAAAAGATAAATTTTAAGAAAAAATTTTTTTTTAAAAACAAGCTTATATTTAAATTCACTAAAAAGCAAAAAATATACTTTTTTTTTTAAAACTTTTATTATGAACTTATAACGTCATTACACAATTTTAATATTATAGTTCAGTCATTGGGAATCAAAAAAGGGGCCTGCTTGGAAAAAAGTCCGGAAGTTTTGAAACTTTGCAGATTTATAGGTTTTGGGGCCCCTAACTAAAATCCATAAAATGCACATTTCCAGACTTGCCGCCGGCGCCGCCATCTTGCTAAGATGGCGCCCAAAATCGGCATTTAGTGAATATCTCGAAAACTATCCGTTTTTCGCGAAAATTTGAGGAGAGCAAAATTAAAGAGAATAAAATTTCCTATAAAAAAGGTTTTATGAAAATTTTCGCTAGTCAACCGTTTAGGCACAAAATCCCTGGAAATTTTACAATTTTGCGTAAAATATGATATATTATGTATAGTCGATTTTCCGAAATCAAATGTCGATTAGGGTTCACTAAAACTAGTTTTTAGTTTAGTTTCTTCAATTTTGTCATGAAACAGTGGCGTATCATTAATTCGCTCATTAATTTATGAATAATTAATTGTCGTGCTGTCAATACAGCATTCATTGCGAACTTACCACCAGGTTCAGCATTGGTCTGGTTGTACCAAAAATGCCGAAGAATGGGGTTGGAAAAAAACAAAAACAGGCATTACTCCAGTCACAACGTTGAAATATCCAGCTCCAAAATCCCTGTTGGATTTTTATCCTCTAAATTGTAAATGCAAAACCAACAACTATGGTAAAGCCTGCGGATGCAGAAAAGCAGGATTAAAATGTTCAGTGATTTGTGCATACTGCAATGTAAAATCCTGTGACAACGTCACTGAAGTGTCACTCGACGAATCCGATGAAGAGAAGTTGGACTTGCCTGTAAGAGTTGGACGTATTGAGAGACCACCCTGATGAGCCCAGCACAGCAGACACGATCGACTTTGACATCAATGAGCCAGATCCGTCGGGCCTGTGCAGATAAGCTAATGTTTTTAATTTATCTAGTGGAGTAGGTCTCCGGGGAGACCACGTTAAAATAAACGCGCTATATACTTTACCTCCTGGGTGGTGTGGAAACAGGTATCTACACATTTTCAATAATTAAAATTAATTATTCATAAATTAATGATACGCCACTGTTTTATGACAAAATTGAAGAAAAAACTAGTTTTAGTGAACCCTAATCGAGATTTGATTTCGGAAAATCGACTACACATAATATATCATATTTTACGCAAAATTGAAAAATTTCCAGGGATTTTGTGGCTAAACGGTTGACTTTAGCGAAAATTTTAATGAAACCGGCGGGGCCGGCGGCAGGTCTGGAAATGTGCATTTTATGGATTTCAGTTAGGGACCCAAAAACCTATAAACCTGCAAATTTGCAAAACTTCCGAACTTTTTTCCAAGCAAAAATCCACAATGACTGAACTATTATACAAGGTCCGGCAATAGTCCGTCGGGCATATGTAGCTCCTAGAATAAAAAACTTGAGAATTTTGTTGCAGACCTAAAGTATGTACCAGGATGTATTTCCGGAAAATATTTTAACTTCTATAGGGTGGCTCAAAAAAGTGTGAGTGGATCTGGATGATTTTTTTTAAATGGAACGCCCTGTATATTATTGCATTTTTGGCTTCCTTTCAGATCATTTTACATAATCCTAAGATATGAGTAAATAAATAATTTCGATAGTTTCACACATATTAAAAAATAAATCAAAAACATATATTTTTCAACCCTTAAAAAAAAATATTAAGATTACAAGAACTCTTCTGAAATCAAAACTATATTAGATATTTACTTTAGATCGTCTGTTCTTACTTTGTTATAAATATGGTAATTGTAAATCATACACGATGTTCAATATTTCACGCGAGACTTTCAAAAATAAAAATAATTTTTCTTGTTTTTTTTTAAATGGTACACCTTGTATATAATTTTTTATTTTGATGGAGAATTAAAAAATTAACTTTTTTAATATTTAAAGTGTTTCAAAATTTTTAATAGTTTTCCGGATACACGCAGTATTATTTCATATGGCACTTTTAATGGTAAAATACGAGAGAAAAATCATTGGGTGGCTATGATAAAAATTTACTGTGGAAAATGGCATATGAAATACAAACCGGGGAATAAACGGTCTGCGAAACTGTTAAAAATTTTGAAATACTGTAAATGCAAAAAATGTTTTTTTTTTTAATTTTCCACCTATTGCAAAAATAATATACAGGGTGTTCCATTTAAAAAAAAAAAGAAAAATTATTTTATATTTTTGAAAGTTTGGAGTAGAATTTTGAACATCCTGTATGATTTACGATTTTCGTATTTATAGCAAAGTAAGTACAGACCATCTAAAATAAATATATAATATAGTTTTGATTTCAGGACAGTTCTTGTATTAATAATATTTTTTTTAAGAAAGGCTGAAAAATTTATAATTTTTATTTATTTATTAATATCTCTGAAATTATCGAAATATATTTACTCATTCCTTAGGATTATGTAAAGTGATCTGAAAGGAAGCCAAAAACGCAATAATATACAGGGTGTTCTATTTAAAAAAATTATCCCGATCCACTCACACTTTTCTGTGCCACCCTATAGAAGTTAAAATATTTTTCTGAAATTCATCCTAGTACATCTTCAACAAAATTCCCAAGTTTTATTCTAGAAGCTACAGATGCCCGACGCACTATTGCCGGACCCTGTATAAAAGCTTGTCGCGAGATTTGTATAAAAAGAACAAGAATAAACAGGTTTAGTGAGGAAACCAACCGCTTTAAAATAGAAACATATGGGTTTGAAATAAAATGTGGGTCTGAAAAGAGACAGGTCTGTCGTTGTAAGCTAAAAAACGGTTTAAAGCAATTCAAAGCGGTTCAAACCTGTTTATTAGCGTATTTTGACTGTTCTTACCTAATTTACATCATGTCCATCAATAACGAAGTTTAATATTTACTATTATTATTCTGAATAGAATATTATTATAATGAATATATAAATTATTGAATATTTAAGGATTCCTTCACTTTCAGGACACAATATCATAGAAGCGAGCGCCTCTGTGGACCGCAATAGTAACAACTCGCCGCGGGACGGCGAGCGCCAAATTGCCACGATAGAGGCGCCGCCTTCCGCAACACCTATCTCTATTCCCACGGTCACCTGCGACTTGGCCAGCGACATCTCCACAAGCGACAACGCCAACGACCCGCAGGACGGTCAGGAACAGAAGGACACCCTTAAGGTACTCCACAGTATTTTCCGACACATGGCCAAAATTATTGCATATATCGTTTAAAAATATACGGAAAGGAATTTAAAGAATATTTTTTTCTACATAGCTTTGATAATCTCTAATAAACATTTTTTTCTTAAAATGGATATGGTAAACAATGTTTATCGTTCAGACCCAATATTATTACAAATTCTTGCACATTTCGATTTGTGGTCTCTTGGGTTTCAGAAGAAATTTGACCATAGCCTTAAAATGTCTAGAAACATTATTTCACAGTTTAATAGACTCAGAATAGTAACACTGTCTCGACAGGGCTACCGGCAAGTTGCAATAGCTGAAATTGTAGGAGTTAACCAAAGTGATGTTTCGCGAATATTAAAAAAATCAGGGAGACAAACGAGGTTACAGACCGGCCTGGAAGAGGTAAAAAGAGAGTTACTACTGCTGTGCAACACCGTCAAATATCCCTAATAGCACGACGCAATCCCCTGCTTTCTAGTACTGCTATTAAAAATGAGTTAGCTCACCTTGAAGGATCAAATGATTCAAGAAAAACCATAGCAAGAAGACTCCATGACAGAGGATTACATTTAAGGAGGCCTCTACGTGTTCCGAAGCTTAATTTACAGCACAAAATTACGCGACTACAATGGGCTGAGGAGATGACAGCAAATGGACTTAATTGGAATTTCGTCATGTTTAGTGATGAAACAAGAATATGCCTAGCGTCAGACTCGCGAAGAACTTTGGTCTGGAGAGCATCTGGAAGGCGATCTTGAATGCAGCTCAACCCTGTGTCCCGTTTCAAGGGGGAAGCATTATGGTATGGGCAGGTATAATGCACGGAGCTCGAACTCCTCTTGTTTTTATTGATGGCACAATGACAGATGGCTCATATCTTAGAGACGTTTTAGAGCCTATTGTGTGTCCATTTCAAGGGGCAGTGGGGGATGAATTTGTTTTCATGGACGATAATGCTCCTCCCCATCACACTTTAGCGGTTCGCGAATTTTCTGAGGAAGAGGGCATAAGAAAACTGTAGTGGCCACCGATGTCTCCAGCTATGAATGTGATCGAGCATGCTTGGGCCATACTAAAACGCCATATTGCCAAAAGGAATGATCCCCTCTTAAACCCTTACCGTACCTTAAATGAATTGAAAATTGCTGCGCGCGAAACATGGGCAGCCATTCCTCAACATCTTCTGGACAACTTAATTGAGAGCATGCCAAGTCGTCTCTCAGCTTGCATTGAGACTCGAGAAGGTAATACAGACTATTAGTTATGAGAAATAATTAAAATTGTTTTCAATATTTACTGTTTAAAATGAAATTTGTTTTTGTTGATTTTCACTCATTATGAAATAAAATTATAATAACTACCTAACCTAACCTAACAGCCTAGTTGCACTTAGTTTTTTAATTTTATATTAATTAGTCGTGTAGTAAGCCAATATGTCCAAAAATATAAAAAGAATCATATTAGGTTCAAAATAAAATAAAAATATCATTATATGCAATAATTTTGGCCATGTGTGTACACACAATATGTGAAATTTTTGTTTAATTATTACATTATTATTATTATTCACAGATACAAAAATACGTTTTTTGTAAAATGCGGATCATAGACTATTATGTTATGCATGGTAATTGCAGCGACTCGAAACTGACGAATATTTTCTCATTCTCTTGACTATTCTAGATGTAAATGGCGTATCTGGCAAATAACCCGAAAACAAATGACCAAGAAAAACCAAAGCTTGCCCTAATGGCAAATTGACCCAAAATATATCTGCCCGAAGAACATTTTAATAGGCCACAAAGTTGACCAAAAAGCAATAATTTTCATGGCATTTTTTTAATTATGTAAACATATTCTATAAGGGGAAAACTCTGATAAATTTAATGACATCTAAGCAGTACAGCTGACGTATATCCAGTAGTTGCACCTGTTTAAAGAGAATGTTTTCATTTTATTGTAAATAATTTTTATAAATCATTTTGGGAGCTTTTGTAAGCTTGAGTGGTCAACAAGAGACCTTATTGGAAAATAAACGTGAATCTTAATTAACTTATGAAATCAAAATATGGAATTTCCACGTATTAAAAGTACCATTACTGGCATCCTCTGCGGACAACTTGACTGCATCCAACTCCGTCATGCCTTGATTTAGTACTAACTAAATAATATATATATATATATAGTTAAGAGCAGCAGCATAATTACATTACACATATTACATACATATATTATTATTACATGTTGGTTATACATACATATGTTGGTTACAGACATACATACTAAGCTGGCTGTTGACATACATTATTGGCCATACATACATTGGCTGGCCAAGGCCACATACATTGTTGGCTGGTTGAGCCACATTACATATTGCCATTGGCTGCCACATGGCTGGCTGAGCAGTTGACACATTACACATTACACATATTGACATGCTATACATACATACACAGCTATCAGCCTCTAGAGTCCCTCCACCACCTTCATGTCACTTGCCGATACACCGAGCCTTACACAGCACATGCCACATACGCTAGTTATATATATATAGCAGCAGTTGTTATATATATATATATATATATGTATATATATGTTATATATATATATATATATATATATATGAGCAGTTATATGCAAATATATATATATATATATATATATATATATATATATATATATATATATATATATATATATATACTAATATAAGCTCAGTAGATTATATCCAGCAAATCTCTGTCAGGCATGAAAATTAATATACCATTATTTAATTAGAGGACTCTAGAACAAACTTCAGACAGAAATAATTAAAACCGCCAAACCTACCAATTTATTTTATACACGCTTACAAACTAAACTATAGCCAAAGTCAAACATCTGTTAAACGATTAATTATTGAGTTATATTATAAATAGCTCAGAAACGTATTTATTTATTTAAAACTTTTTTCTACAACTTATTTAACAACAATATATAAATAAATAAAAAATAAAATAAAAACGCCTTTGTTTTTAACTCGGCGAAATTCAGCTGAGCTGTTAGTTTAACCGACCATTCAAAAAAAATACCATTATAAGATTACAATAAAAATAAAAAGTTTCACGATATTATCTACCTATCATAATATACTACGAAAAAAGACAAAAAAAAAACAACAAAATAGCCACCTAGTTATTTATCGTTAAAAGGTGCTTTTTAAATTTTGATTTAAATGTTCAAAACGAGATATTTTTTGATTGACTAATATTGGGATATTGGTTTTTTAAGCAGTTGTAGATTAGAAGTTTTTTTATAAGAATTTTCTTTTGGAAAAATATTAAAACACCTATCACTATGCGACGGAGCTGTTCGCCGGTGAGCAATGAAGGTAAGCTAGTGAAAATTAAACTGTGATACTTAAGTCTTTATAATATACTGGGCGCCACTCAGTTTTCCATTTAATTTCGAAAACTTCTAAGTTGAAAACTGAAAAATCAACTCAGAATATAGGTATTACTTATTTTAGGAATTACACAAATGAAACGCTGAGACAAAGTAATAACTAAGTATAATTAATAATTAAATGTTAAGTAGAATAAGATAAGAATATGAAAAATTTGATGTTTGAAAATATTTGTTGGTAAATTGTATGTGTAAAAATAGATCACTCAAAATGGTAGTTTAAATCTGCATGCTTCTGAATATTAATATATTATTAATTATTCCGCATAAAGTCTGGCGATCTTGGTACTAAAATGTAGGGACTCTTTATATTCCAAAAAAAACGTACTATGTGAATATCAGAAATATGCATAACATATGTAAAATTTATCAAAGTGAAATTCTTAAGTAATTAAATATATCTATAATATGCCTGAAGGGCTTAATGAATTCAAATGAATTTAAATTATATAGATATAAAATCAAATGTTCTGGCCTGTTTTATCCGTTCTGGTCACAAGCTAGTTATGGTGAACTGCTACCGGAACTGGATAGTGGTATAAGATGGTTCTGGACAGACAGAATCGAAAACTTGTGTGGATTCAGGAGATTCCTCCGTTATTCCCGGTGTGAAATGTAGGGACAAATGTGGACCAAATGTCAGGTGTAAAAAAGAAAAAATGGCACCAGAAAATAAAGCCACCATAAAATGCCTTACTATAAAATGCTGCCATATACTAAAACCCTATATAAAGAAAAGAGAGGTATTAGGAAACGTTACACAACGTTGCGTTTAAATTAAGAGTCTAACCTCTGCTCAGAGGGTTTTCCCAAACAAATTGGCAAAATGCCAACAAACGCCGATAGCTCTATCGGGTTCAGCCTTTAGCCACCGATATGGCGAGGGAAGGTAGGCACGAAGTATGACTATACACCGTCAGATATAAAGTGACGAATAAACTTCGACCGGACTGAAATAACTCCCCAGAAATAACCTTCAAGAAAAAATAAAAGATAATAACAATACTTAGAATGCCATCTCGATCCGAGGACTTAAACTTGAATTTTTAAATAAAATAATTCTCTACCTTTATATTAATTATGTGAATTTTAAATAAAATGCTACACAGTATAACTGACGTATATGGGAAGCAGCTCTAGGTCATGGCTTTATTAATTTTGGGCATTTGATAGTGCTTATTAAAACGAGTTTCGCGTGGATGTCCCTACGTGTTAGTTTTTCAAACAAATATGAAGGGCTCTCAGATTTAATTAATTTATGCAGGAAGCAAGCAAAATGAAATTTTTGTCGATCCGATATGTTTGTCCGATAAGTTTGTGGCTCACGTTATCACTACGTTTCAGGTTGTAAATAAAATGAATGTAAGAGTAGTGAATTTTTTGTAATTTGAATTTGGTTGAAACATCCAAACAAGGTCCATATACAAAATTACAGTAATTCAAATGACTTAAGACAAGTGCGTAGCATAATTTTTTTTAACCCAAAGTTCAGAACATTTTTGCTTTTATAGATGTTGCGGAGATAAATATAGGCTTTTTGGAGA